AGAGGAAGAGGGTGCCTGGATTCAGTCAGAAGAGCATATGACTCTTGATCTGGACTGTGGGCTGTGGTCATTAAAAGTTGTGGACCTAGGGACACCTGGGTGGCTCAGTGTTGAGCGTCTGCCTTCAGCTCAGGTCGTGATCCTGGGGTCCTGGGATCAAGCCCCACTTCTCCCTCTGCCTATATCTCTGCTGTGTGTCTTATGAGTGAATGAACGAATAATAAATATTAAAAAAAAAAAAGCTGTGGACCTAAGTATCTCCAAACTGCCCCCACCCTTCACGGTGAAGCAGTATGTATTTTGTTTTGTTTTGTTTTGCTTTTCCCTTATCATCAAAATCTCACCAGCTATTCTGAGCAATTTGCAAAATACTGAGCATTTAAAAAAACAGAGAGGAAATAACACCTAATCTCACCACCTGGAGATGCAAACCACTAGGGGAGTGTCATACATTTCCTTCCAGGGTTTTTTCTAAGTCATCTTTGTACATAACACACATTCCAAATAACAAATGTGGGGCCTGCTGTTTTTGTTTTCTTTTTCTTTTTTTTTTTAAACTAAATACCATAAATCCTTATCAAGTCGTTCAAAAACTCCAGAAATTACTTTTTTCTTCAAAATAAAGCTACTACAAGGTCAGTGGGGTGGGGGGAGACATAGGTTTTAAAACAGAAAAATGAAAACTCCTTCCCTCTTTTAACACTACCCCCAAAGGGACTGATGCAACTACAATTAAAAATGTTTCATTCCGGGGATCCCTGGGTGGCTCAGCGGTTTCACGCCTGCCTTTGGCCCAGGGCGCGATCCTGGAGTCCCGGGATCGAGTCCCACATCGGGCTCCCTGCATGGACCCTGCTTCTCCCTCTGCCTGTGTCTCTCTGCCTCTCTCTCTCTCTCTCTCTCTCTCTCTCTCTGTGTGTGTGTGTGTGTGTGTGTGTGTGTGTTTCTCTCATGAATAAATAAGTAAAATCTTAAAAAAAAAAAAAAAAAAAGAAAATCAATTGTTTAAAAAAAAAAAAGTTTCATTCCGGGGCACCCAGGTGGCTCAGCAGAGCAAGAGACTCTTGACCTCAGGCTTGTGAGTTCCAGCCCCACACAACAATAAAATGTTTCATTCAGAATTCACAAAGCTATTAAATGTAAAAGGAATTTAAGGGGGCACCTGGGTGTCTCCGTGGTTGAGCGGCTGCCTTTGCCTCAGGTCATGATCCCAAGGTCCTGGGATAGAGTCCTGCATCGAGCTCCCCGCAGGGAGCCTGCTTCTCCCTCTGCCTAGGTCTCTGCCTCTCTGTGTCTCTTATGAATGAATAAATAAAAGATCTTAAGAAAAGAAAAAAAAGAAGAGTCAGTGGTTGGAAACGCCAGGGCTTAAACTCAGGGATTCCTAAAAGCCAAACATGGACTGTCTCACTTAACTATACCCTGTCACACAATTTGAATTTAAATAACCACGTGTAACTATTGTCAACATTACTGAATAATAAAGTCTGTGATACTTACAAGGATACAGTCCACAATTACATCACGTAAGGAAATTTTTTAAAAAGGCAGTCATCCTACAGATTGTCAATAAATATTTTTTAAAGATTTTACTTATTTATTCATTCATTCATGAGAGACACAGAGAGATAGAGAGGCAGAGATACAGAGAGGGAGAAGCAGTTTCATGCAGGGAGCCCAATGCGGGACTCAATCCCAGGACTCTGGGATCACGCCCTGAGCCCAAGGCAGGTGCTCAACCGCTGAGCCACCCAGGCGTACCAATCAATCAATATTTTTTGAATAAATGGGTCGTATTATGCCTTCTGTTCCACAATTTGCTTTGTCCACGTACAAATTCTACCAAAGGTAATATAGTGTGAAGGACACATTGGAAACTAACAGGATGACAGCAGTGGCTTCTGGAGAGGGAATACTGGGTGTGGGTGTCTGGGGAGAAGAGCAGGAGGGAGGTCTATTCACTTTAGTACTTTTTGAATTTTGCACCTTGGGCATGAAATACCTATTCAGAACTAACTACAAAAAACATATATTTTTAAAGAATTTATTTATTTGACAGAGAGAGAAAGAACACAAGCAGGGGAGAGGCAGGCAGAGGGAGAGGGAGAAGCAGGTTCCCGCCCCAAGCAAGGAGCCCAATGTGGGGCTGGATCCTAGGATCCCGGGATCATGACCAGAGCTGAAGACAGGTGTTTCACCGACTGAGCCACCCAGGCGCCCCACTCATTGCAAATTTAAAAATGAAATATGGCCTGCAATCTTTTCATTGATCAATTGATCTACCTAAAAAAAAAAAAAAAAAAAAAAAGATCTACCTAACGTTCATTAACCACTTGCATAGTATTCCATGGTGGGGCTATGGCTTTATGGATTTATAGAGCTGCCTGTAAGGATAGACATTTTGGTATATCCTAATCCTCTGTTCATTTATTTGGTTATTTAGTCAATTAGAAGAAATTGGGCACTTACATGACAGCTGCCAGAAGCCCTGGAGAGAAAGCAGGTACAAATTCCTGCCTTCATGGGATGCCTGGGTGGCTCAGTGGTTGAGCGTCTGCCTTTGACTCGGGGCATGGTCCTGGAGTCCCAGATCGAGTCCCACATCGTGCTCCCTGTGTGGAGCCTACTTCTCCCTCTGCCTGTGTCTCTGCCTCTATTCTCTGTGTCTCTCATAAATGAATGATTAATTAATTAATTAATTAAATCTTAAAAAAAAAATCCTGCCTTCACTCTAGCAGAGAAACGGAAACAGGATAAGTAAGAATACACCGGCATGTTAAATCCAGCCAGCTAGCAGAGCTATGAAGGAAACCTCATGCTCTTAATAGTGGGTCACAGTGTGGATCCTGGGGGGCAGTTTCCATGGGAGCCTGAGAGTAGGCTCTGAATAAATAATTCAATTGAGGGAACCACAAGTTGAAAGGTCCCAAGGCCAGAAAAATCTACAAGTTTTAGAAGCCGCAAAGAAGGAGGAGAGGAGATGCATTCAGATGTAAGAATGTAAAATAAGGGCACAAGGGAGGATTAGTGAGTTAAGCATCTGCCTTCCGCTGGGGTCATGACCTCAGGGTCCTTGGATCCAGCCCCACATCAGGCTCCCTGCTTAGCAGTGTGTCAGTCTCCCTCTCACTCTTTCTGTGATCTTTCTCTTTAAATCTTTAATTTTAATCTTTAAATAAAATCTTTTAAAAAATGTAACACAGACGAGCTGCATCACAAGAGAGTAAGGCCCCTTTTTAATCTTTTATTTTAATTTTTTAAAATTTTTATTTAGTTATGATAGTCACAGAGAGAGAGAGAGAGAGGCAAAGACACAGGCAGAGGGAGAAGCAGGCTCCATGCACCGGGAGCCCGACGTGGGATTCGATCCCGGGTCTCCAGGATCGCGCCCTGGACCAAAGGCAGGCGCCAAACCGCTGCGCCACCCAGGGATCCCTAAGATTTTATTTTTATTTATTGAGACACACACAGAGAGAGAGAGAGAGAGAGAGAGAGAGAGAGAGAGAGGCAGAGACACAGGCAGAGGGAGAAGCAGGCTCCATGCTGGGAGCTAGTAAGGCCCCTTTAAAAAATTTTTTTTTATTTACTTATTCATGAGAGACACACAGAGAGAGGCAGACACATAAGCAGGGGAAGAAGTAGGCTGCGGAACTCGATCCCAGGACCCCGAGATGATGCCCTGAGCCCAAGGTGGAGGCTCAACCACTGAGCTACCCAGGTGCCCCTGAGTGAGGCCCTTTATTTTTTTAATTTTTTATTTATTTATGATAGTCACACAGAGAGAGAGAGAGAGGCAGAGGGAGAAGCAGGCTCCATGCACTGGGAGCCCGAAGTGGGATTCGATCCCGGGTCTCCAGGATTGCACCCTGGGCCAAAGGCAGGCGCCAAACCGCTGCGCCACCCAGGGATCCCGAGGAAGCCCTTTAAATGTAGTCTGTGCACCAGGGCCCCATGCTACAGGATAAGTACACAAATTGAGAGGGAGCATTGGGACACTTTGATAGCAATTCTTTGTCAGTTGAATCTATAAACAAACAAACCTTTTTTTTGGGGGGGTGTAGAGATTTTATTTATTCATGAGAGACACAGAGGCAAAGACACGAGCAGAGAGAGAAGCAGGCTCCCTGCGGGGAGCTCTATGCGGGACTCCACCCCAAGACCCTGGGATCACGACCTCAGGTCAAGGCTGACGCTCAGCCTCCACCCAGGCGTCCCAATTAAATCTAGTAACGTTAAACAGAGGGCAGCCCGGGGGCCTCAGCGGTTTAGCGCCGCCTTCAGTTCAGGGCCTGATCCTGGAGACCCAGAATCGAGTCCCACGTCAGGCTCCAGGCAGGAGCCTCCCTCTGCCTGTGTCTCTGCCTCTTTCTCTCCGTGTCTCATGAATAAAATCTTAAAAACAAAACAAAACAAAACACTAAACAAAGTTAAAAATTCAGGTCCTGTCTCATGCGCATTTCCAGTGCCAGCTGCATCCGTGTCTGATGGCTCAGATATAGAACATTCCATCATTGCGGGAAGTTCTACTCGACGGTGCTGTTACAGACAGAAAACCAGCAGAAGGGTTATGTTTTTGTTTTTTCACTAAACCATTGGGGCTGAAATAGGGCATAAAGGACAACAAACTTCATTAAACTTGAAAAAAACTCATGGTCAATGCCGGCCCCTCACAAATATGGCGGCGCCATTGCTCATGCTCCTAAGACCTTCCGAAAGGCCGCCCCGCAAAAAGATGGCCGCCACCGCATCCCTTTTGGATTCTGCAGAAACACAGCCACGCGGTCCCCCTACCCCCACGTGATCTTCACTCCACCGAAAGATGCCCGCCTTCCTATAACTCTCGCGATAACGCTGGCCTCGCCTTCCCAACGTGAACTAACGGACCCAGCGCGTTCACCGCTTGACTTTCTCCGGAGGGCGTCGGCGGGTCGCGGGCTCCCGACCCGCGACCCTTCATCCTGTGCGGCGTCCGCTTAGTCTCCGAATCGAGTGCGGAGTTTGGGCCGCCCGTTAATCACAGTCGCGCCCGAGGCTCCAAATCGTGCTCCCGCCCCCTTTCGTCACTTCCTCCCTTGCCCCTGTGCAGTCGATAAGGAAACCCGGACGCCCTTCCGGCTTTCCTTTTTCCAGGCGGCCGGGAAGATGGCAGACATTCAGGTTCGTGCTCGGGGCCGGCGCGGATGCTTCGGGACCCACCCCCGGCCTCAGGGGCGCGTCCGGGAGAGAAGGACGCCCGAGCCCCAGTGTGGGGTTAATCCCAGGCAGCCTAGACACCCCAGGCCTTAATGCGGGAGCGCGTGTGTTTGAATTAAACTAGGTTAGCGCCTCCTAAATCCCGGGGGCTCCCCTTAGTGGAGGCTCAAACCTCTTAGGAGTTATTTTCTTAAAACTCAAGGTTTACGGGGTGGTTTTTCTGGAGGCCTTGGGCCATCGAGTTAATCCTGTTAGAACGGAGCCCTAAGGGCTAATCCAGGGAGCCCCGGGTTTGGTATTTATTTCTGAAGTCGCCTACGTTACATAAGGAGAGAATTCGGGGGGGGGGGTATCCTTATGGCTTGGAGAAGAAGCATTGCTGTAAGGTGTCCAGGTTAGAGGAGTGATTGTGCCTGGGTTTTAAGGAATGACTTCTGCAGGTGATGGGACGTATTTGGGTGCACAAATGCTGAAGTAATTCTGGCTCATAATTCGGACTCCGCTCAATTTCAGGGAGTGTTTTAGATGGTAATTATCCAGGCTCGGGAGGCTGCCATTTGGGGACCAAATGCTGGAGAGGATGGGGTTGGGGTTTCTGGGAAGGTTTCCAGGCCAGGTTGCCCGCCCCAAGCTCACCAGCTTCCTCCTCGTCCACCTAGACCGAGCGTGCCTACCAAAAGCAGCCAACCATCTTTCAAAATAAGAAGAGGGTCCTACTTGGAGAAACTGGCAAGGAGAAACTCCCGCGGTACTACAAAAACATCGGTCTGGGCTTCAAGACGCCCAAGGAGGTATGGGGGGATGGTATTCTGGGAAGGAAGGAGACCCCTGTGCCCCAGCACACGTGTGCCCAGACCGGGTTACCCTGCTGGCATCTGAGTGACTGATCCTGGGGCTGATGGGAATTGTAGTTCCTGTCCCTGAGCACCACCACCCCCGCGGTGGTTTCAGGAACAGCTTGTTCAGGGCTCACTCCTTTTTCTCCCTTACTCAGGCCATTGAGGGCACCTATATTGACAAGAAATGCCCCTTTACTGGCAATGTCTCCATCCGAGGGCGGATTTTGTCTGGTGAGTGAGGACTCTGGGAGCTTGGGTTCAGATTTTTGGGTCTGAGGGAGGATGGACTGGGGATGCTCAGATTCCTGGGTGAGGGGGGTTGGCAGCTTTCTGGGTCTAGAGGGCACTGGCAGATGATGTCTTTTCACAATGGTCTTCAGATGCCCACCGCGGGCACTGCTGAAAAAACCACTTGGCACAGCTGATGTCAGCGGGGCTTGGGATCCCTCCTTGGCAGCTCCCAATTCCCAGCATGCTCTGGAAGTGCCCAAGGCTCCCCTTCCCCAGGGGCTGACCTGCAATCCATGCCCTCTCCCCAGGTGTGGTGACCAAAATGAAGATGCAGAGGACTATTGTCATCCGCCGAGACTACCTCCATTACATCCGAAAGTACAACCGCTTTGAGAAACGCCACAAGAACATGTCGGTGCACTTGTCTCCTTGCTTCAGGTGAATATGGTGGGTGGGCCATCAGGTTCCCAGGCCGAGGGGAAAGAAGTGGTCTGTCCCCGGGTCTGAGGGACATGGAACCTGGCTTGGGTTGACAGGGCTCTCTGGCTGCTGTGTGGGTAGTAAACTATTGGGAGACAGTGTGAGGAGACCGGTGTGACCAAGCAGATAATTCTCAGGAGCCTCCAGTCCGTGTAAAGTGGAGGGGATTGAGAGAGGGTTTCTTTTTTAAGATTTTTTATTTATTTATACGTGAGAGAAGCAGAGGGAGAAGCAGGCTCCATGCAGGGAGCCCGATGCAGGACTCAATCCCGAGACTCCAGGATCACACCCTGGGCCAAAGGCAGATGCTAAACCTCTGAGCCACCAGGGATCCCTGAGGGAGGGCTTCTACCCTGAGAAGTCGCCAAAGGGGCTGGAGTATCCTCTGTAGAGCTTTGGGTTTGATATCTTGCACAGAGTTTTGTCCAATAAATAACCCAGGGAGGGGAGGGCAGGTGGAAATGGAAAGTGGAGCATGGGTAGGGTTTAGTGGAGCCAAAGCAGAGGCCTCAGCCTTTAGTGGCCTGCGTGGGACAGTCCAGCCTGTAACAGCCTCTGCCCACCTCTACAGGGATGTCCAGATCGGCGACATTGTCACAGTGGGTGAGTGCCGCCCCTTGAGCAAGACTGTGCGTTTCAACGTGCTCAAAGTCACAAAAGCTGCTGGCACGAAGAAGCAGTTCCAGAAGTTTTGAGGCAAGACTTCTGTCTACACCCCTGAAGAAAATAAAACTGTCTACACCCCTGACTCCCAGGTCTCAAAAACTATTTTCCCAGTTATGGGCTTGGCCCAGTGTATCTGTACTTTTGCTAGAGGGATTTTTTTTTTTTTTAAGATCTCATTTATTTATTCATGAGAGACAGAGGCAGAAGAAGCAGGCTCCTCAGGGGAAGCCTGATGTGGGATCAGGACTCCAACCTGAACCAGGGATCACTCCTTGAGCTGAAGGCAGATGTTCAATCGCTGAGCCACCCAGGCATCCCTTTGCTAGAGGGATTATTTCTGGGAGTTGAATGGGGTTGATGCAAAAGATGGGGTTCTCTTTCATCCTCTGGACCCCCATGTAAGGGTGGGGCTGGCTGGGTGCTGCCTCCTTTCTGTCTTTTCATCTCTGAAGATAGGAACCTGTATTAAGACACTGCTCCTTCTTTGGGTCTCCTTTTGATCCACGTCACATCTTGGTGTCAGAATAAGCCCTTCTACCTGGTGTTGGGGCATGCCCCCAACTCCCCCAGTCTCTGGGGAGGAAGTGAGTGAGGGCGTAGGCTCCTGCGTTCTCTCTCTCAACTCTGGTGTAAGCCTTCTTGCCTCCTTGGGAGGGTGAAGGAGAAGCAGCTATCTCAGCCCAGCTAGGGGCACTGAATGGGCTTGCAGGGTTCTGTGCTGTCTGGTGGGGTCTTAATCTTCAACCTGGGCTTTCCTGTCTCCCCTAACAGTGGAGGAGTGCACCAGGGAAGCCAGACAGCCAGCCTCTGCAGCCCCAGCACACACCCCCACCCCTTCCCCTTCCTGAGCAAGCACCAGGCTCCTTGGCAAACCCATCTGAGGGGACAGGTTCTCCCATCCATGAGGAGCTGAGCTCTAGAGGTTTCCTTTGCCTGAAAATCCAAGGAAATTGGCTTTGAAGGCACATCACATAGTGAAGCCAAGCTGGAGCCAGCCTGGGCCCCACCTCTGTAGCACCTGATTGCAGGCTGCTCAGAAGTAGGTTAGGAAGACCCTGGAAGTGAGACTTACCAGCCTTGGAAGAGAAGAAGAGTGGGGACATCGTCAGGCAAAGAAATTCTGGGGAAAAGCTTTGTGACCGGGCCAGTGATCCTGAATGTCAGAGGAAAATGTGAGGAAGGGCAAGAGATTGACCCTAAAAGTGGAAGGCTTTCTCTTGGAGAAAACCTGGGAAGGAGGGGGGCAGGACCTTGAGCATCCCTTTCAGAGATAAGAACAGAGGGCTCAGCTGGACTCTGGGAAAGGTCGGAGACCACAGGTAGTGACAGACTGGCAGATTTCTGAGAACAATGGACCTTGAGAATGAAATCGAGTTCCGAGATGATAGACAGGCCAGCGGGGGGGGGGGGGGGCAATGGCTTTTAGAATCTGGAGAGAGACCCTCACCCGAGTCACAGCAGGCAGAGACGGAGGTACTTGCTGGCTTCACCTCACCTTCACCTGAAGCTGGCTTCGGAGCCGGTGCTGCTGGGGGTCCCCAGGTCCCTGCCCCCCATGCCTGTACCAGGGACTGAGGCACAGCACTGGTACAAGGGTTGGGAGACAGGGCCGAGAGGAGAGAGGAGCTGCTGCCTCCAGGGGACGTGCCGACTCTGGACCGACTCAGCGACTCCTTTTGACCCAGACCTGGGGAGGGGAGGGCGGGGGTTCCTGTCGGAGGAAGTGGGGCCGCATCAAAGAGGCCAGGAAGGGGCAGGGACGGGTCTGAAGGGGCACCGCCCCGGAGTTTCAACCTGTGAGCCCGCCCCACCCGGTGCTGGAGGGCAGAGAGCCTGAGGGAGGGGACTGGGACCCAGAAAGGGTTCTGAGGCTGCTCCCGGAGGCCCCCCCCCACCACAGGTGTTTCCGTTTGGGGTGGGGCTGCCATGTTGACAACAGCAGCCCAGCTCCCCTGTTGGCTCCCAGCAGTTGTTGGGGTGTCTCCTTGGCACCCCACTGTTAGGTTACCTAGTCATGGGTGGGGCACCTGCCTGGTGTGAGTTGGGGTACACCTCTGCTGGACCTGGTGGGTCAAGTGGCAAAAAACAAGGAGAAATACCCTGGGTCCACACCACTTGTGCCTGGAGGGAGGTGACCACTGTCACCTTTTAAAGTCCGGTGACAGCCAGAGACCATTCCTACCTCCATCACAAGCTCAGTGCTTATCTTCTGCCCTCTGCCCACCACTCCCCCTTCCTCAACCTGCCAGCGCCCACCAGACCTGCTCCCTCTGAGCCTTCACACTGGCCCTGCCCACTGCCTGGCAGCTCTCAGCTCAGGTGTCCACCTGGCTCCCTCCTTCATTTCCTTAGGTTATAATGTTCACCTGCTTCTGTTTTTTTTTTAAAGATTTTATTTATTCATGAGAGGCACAGAGAGAGAGAGGCAGAGACACAAGCAAAGGGAGAAGCAAGCTCCATGCAGGGAGCCCGACATGGGGACATGGGACTCTATCCGGGTCTCCAGGGTCACGCCCTGGGCTGAAGGCAGACGCCAAACTGCTGGGACACCGGGGCTGCCTTGTTTTTTTGTTTTTTTTTTTTTTTTAATATTTTATTTATTCATTAGAGACCTACAGAGAGAAGGCAGAGACATAGGCACAGGGAGAAGCAGGCTCCCTCTGGGGAGCCCGATGCGGGACTTGATCCCAGGACCCCAGGATCACGCCCTGAGCCAAAGGCAGACACTCAACTGCCAGGCCACCCAAGCGTCCCCACCAGACTCTTTCCATCTGGCAAAACCTCCTGTCCTCCCAACTGCCCTTCCCAGCTTTATTGCCCTACAGAGACAGACGAGGCCCATTTCATGCATATTTGTAAGTTTATTGTAGAAACCTGTGTGACATTGCATGTTTGCTAACCTGGGGGCCGCTGGAATGTGAGCTCTGCATCCCTAGCATGCGGACATGTTGTAAACTCTCCATATATGTTTATCACAGTAAATGAGTCAAAGCTAAATCCCCACATTCTCAGAGGGCAGGAATGACTCCCAGGTCTCAAGTTCTGGAATAACCAGAAGCAGTGACCATGAGCAGATACCTCCCAAATGGAAGCATTATGACCGCAGGCTCTTCTGATTTATAGCTCTGCTGCTTATTGGCAGGTGACCACCCCTCCACCCGCCCCACCCCAACCACAGAGCCTTATAATCTGTAAAATGGGTTTTTGCCTCATTTCCCCCGTGGGAGGATGAACAATGGTTACATGTGTTAATGGAGTAGTAACTCAATTACTAATTCTAGTAAATAATATTCCTGATGGAAGTTAATTTTTCCAGAGCCCTGAGCCTATTAGAGAAGCCTTGAGGTAGCTTAGTGTAGGAGGCTCTGGGTCCCATCAGGAAGTCCCAAGGACAAGAGTCTTGCCAAGGGCCTCTAGAGATATTCAATATATGGTTGTGGAACTTGCATCTATTACAGCAAGCCCTGGTGGGCTGGCATGGGACTTTGAATCTATTTTAGCATGCTTCTAGAATATTCTGTTGCATGCCTCTAATAGGAGATCCCAGTGGCATTGCATTTTTCTCAGGGAAATTAGCTGCAGGCACAGTTTCATAGCAGGATCCTTGATTTATGATGACAGCAGGGGTCAGGCCTATTACATGAAAAGAGGGCAACTCTTGGTGGTATCACAAGGTATCACGGCCCTGCACTGATTATAGCAGGCCACTGGAATATTCTATAGCTACACTGGCAGTCATTGTTGCAGCCCCCAAGGTATTCTATTATAGCAGGACCTCCAGTAGCAAGCACCTAAATTCATTTAACTGGTCCAGTCTGGAGGTCTGTGAGTTGATTCTAGGGAACTTGGATTATAGTAGCTTCCAAGTGTGTTTGAGCAGCCCTGCTGCCATATTTTGGCACTGCCCTGAGCCCATTATGGGAAATTCCTGGGATCTAACATTGTAGTAGGTCCCAGTTCTATTACATATTATTACAGAAGCCTACAGTATAGATTCTGCTAGAACGTTCTAACAGGACATCAGAGCCGTTCTGGAAGAGTTTTAGGGGCACATCAAACCAGCCCAGGATCATACATTGTTGCTGTTGTTCATTCTACCAATATCTACTGTGCTGGCCCCTGGGAATGCAAGAGTGAGCAAGACAAATCCAGGGCCTGGTGTTTGAGATGCCCAGGACCCTAACAGCAGCTGGGAGTGGAGGGAACATTAAGAGGAACAAGTGTTACTACTATGCCCTACCATGTGCCCCATGCCAAACCCTTGACTCGCTGAATCCTCTTCTCTGAGTTTGGCACAATTATTATTCCCATTTTATAGATAAGGAAACCAAGGCTCAAAGTCCAGCCGGCCTGGGGATCCCTGGGTGGCGCAGCGGTTTGGTGCCTGCCTTTGGCCCAGGGCGTGATCCTGGAGACCCGGGATCGAATCCCACGTCGGGCTCCCGGTGCATGGAGCCTGCTTCTCCCTCTGCTTATGTCTCTGCCTCTCTCTCTCTCTGTGTGTGACTATCATTAATAAATAAAAATTAAACAAAAATAAATAAACCTATAAAAAAAAAAGTCCAGCCGGCCTGGAAGGGGCAGGATTGGGTTTTGAACTCAGGTGTGATTATTACCTCCTGGAGTCAGTAGGGGGCACCACGGTCCAGGTGCAGAGGGGAGGGGCAGAGGTTAAGACACCAGGGCGGGTTTTTTTGTTGTTGTTGTTTCAAATTATTTATTTATTTATAAGAGACACATAGAGAGAGGCAAGGACATAGGCAGAGGAAGAAGCAGGCTTCCTGCAAGGAGCCTGATGTGGGACTTGATCCCCAGACCCGGGATCACACCCTGAGCTGAAGGCAGATGCTCAATTGCTGAGCCACCCAGGCGGCCCAAGACACCAGGGCGTTTATAGTGCACAGTCCCCAGGGCCAAGGTAGCTTCATGGACCAGCTCCCCATGAGGTTGAAGCCCTGGTTCAGAAAGGACCCATTCTGAGTTCAATGCTATGTTTGAGGGATCCCTGGGTGGCTCAGCTGTGGCTCCGAAGGGGGATATTCTGATAGGGACAAGAAGGGCATCCTTCCTGACTGCGGTAGGCTGGATAATGGTCCCCCCAA